GCAGGTGGCTGAATTTTACGGAGACTTGCCACGGTCTCCAACCCTCCTCCTTTCTCATCCGGGTTTGGGAGCGGCAACGGCGGAATATCCAAAACAAACAACTAAAGTTTATTACTATCTCAGATAGTAGGTGTCCGAAGTTGGAGGAATGAAGTTGACAGAAAATTGCGTAGAGAAAAAAATGCAACAGCAATGAATTAAGAAAAAGCGGTTCTAAAACCTGGAGGAAACCGAACAAATCGGACTTCAGTTCGTGCTTACAACTGCAGTAATAGATCAGAGTAAACTGTGCACGAGTCCAATCAGGCGCACCTGTTAGACATAGTATACGGACAATTTCATGCTCTGAAATTTTGGCGGCGAGAATCACGGTTGATCGCAAATGAAAGCACAAAGAGGCTGTTGCGAGCAGGCCTGTACCTTTCCTCGAAGCGACACATGGGATCAACTAGAAGTAGAGTGTGAACCAGCCAGCAACAAGCCCTTCGTCGTTATTTACTTTCGAAATCGAAGGAGAGCCATCTGTGAGGTTTCTTATTAATGATGGTGTTCGCTGAAAAGATGAGCTTTCGCTTTGCTGGTTTATGGTGTTCTCGAATTTTTGCTCCCCAACAGTGCTGACTCTGGCAAAGGCAAAGGTCTCATTCTAAAGAAAAGGCGCAGTTCAAAACTTCCGACTATGCATCTTACTGAGCTGGAATATGCAGATGACATCATCCTTGTGAGTAGTACAGGAAGAGGACTTCTTCGACTGCTGGATTCCGCATTGAACACAGCAGCGAAAGATGACCCTTATTTTAATGCTCAGTAACGAAACTTCATAAGGAACAATTCAAGACAGATCTACAAGTGGATTAAGGAAGTAAAACGCTTCAGAAGGTTGAATAGTTTAAGTCGAAGGATTCATCGTCTCTAGTAATATCACCAACCAGCCAGAGTTAAATAGAAGAATCATTCTGGTCTCGAATGCATTTGGAAATCTGTCCAATTTTTAGTCTGAAAATGGAGATGCTCTTCCAACGAAAACTCGTATGTATATTGCTTCTAAGAGGTCAGTGTTGTTGTATGGCAAGGTGGCAGTTTTTCTAACGAACGGATAAGAACTATGATTGAAATGCGTTCCGCAGCTCTGGCTTCGACTCATAATGAGGGTTAGCTGAACAAAACACGTAAGAAATAACTCAATTCTCTTCTAAGCACAGGTGACCAGAATAAATGTATATTTTTAGAAAATGAGGTTTCCTCATTTTGCAAACTAGAAGAAGCAAAGGCCTTCGAGCTTATGCGCGGCAGTAGAAGCAACGCAACTTGTAGAACCAAGGTAGAGACAAATCTTCTTTCAAGGAAGGATTGTTCCTTCTGTGATTAAGCAATGCATGCATTATAACAAAGGTAATAAAAAGCTGGAAATTCAACAGACATCACAAGCCAGACACG